TGAAGCTCAAAATGGGACAAAAGCTATGTTATACGTTGGTTTTTTGACTCTGCCTCAGTTTAGATAAATGGACCACTTGAATATACTCCACTATCGTACCTTAGCTGGATTCCGGATCATGCCAGTAAATCGGATATATATTATTCTGACTGAGTATTACATTCTCTTTCTTCATCGAGTAAGTCCCGGGAGCGCTACAAACTCCATCATCTAAAGAAGAATGACCTTCCATCTAAATAGAAAGGAAGAAACATAGGAGGTTAATGTTTGAATTCTTTTTAGCATCAATTAATTAAACTTCAAGATCAAGTCGAATGTGATAATTAGGAGGAACATTGTTTTTAAGCATAACTCCTATGTATTGATCAAACCTTTAAGAGCAAACTTTTCAGTAATATAACACACACAGGAAGATACAAGTGGAGACTTGGTTTACGCTTAATCGTGTAATAGACACTTAACACGGTGATTAGTTGTGGATAAATATATTTAAATAATATGACTGTTTGAGTGGGGTCAAGGTTGATGCCGCACTGTTAAGTTTACCTCATACTTAGGCGTCACGTTCCTTGTACTTAATGTCTTCTAAAATAGTTGTGTATGGTGGAAACGGGGCCCTGGGGTCTTCATGTGTTTCGTTTTTTAAAAATAACAGTTTTGTAGGTTCTAATAGTCGGAATTTGATCTCTATCAGTGGGTTTGCTCCGTAGGTTCAGTGGAAAATATCCAGGCTGACGTTAACGTTATTATTACCAAACGTGATTCCCTGGAGGAACAGTACCATGAGGTGTCCTGCTGTCTGAAGGAGGTATTAAATGGGTGCCTTGTGGATGGGGTATTTTGTGTAGCTGGCGGCTGGGTTGGCGGGAACTGTAGCGCTCGAGGTATCTTTTCTTCTGTCGTTTCTCTGTGATTTTATATGCACATAAAATAGAACGGATCATGGAATTTATTTTGATGTTTCCCAAAGGCATTTTTATAACGTGTTGCCAAGGGGACCGTTCACACATAACGTTCCTTAAAAACTAGGTTTTATTAAAAGTGTTGATACTGCCATAAAGCAAAGTGTATGGTCATCTACCGTCGCTGCTTCGATTTGTTCTGCATATCTTCGGCCGGGCGGTATGTTCATTCTTTGTGGGTCTATGTCGGCTTTGGATGGTACTCCAAGTAAGTCTCTATAATGGCTTTGGCCTCCCAGTCACCTATCTTCCAGCTTCACCTTCCTACCACCTCCCGTTATTTCACTATCTTATCTTAAATGGAATATGCCTTTATTCCCGTAATTTGAAAAGAAGGTTGGAGTAAAACATAACAGTAACATTGTGTATATTTTAGGAATGATTGGATATGGATTAGCAAAGGCAGCTGTCCATCACTTGGCCTCAAGTTTGGCTGAGCCGGAGAGTGGGATGCCACCCGATAGTTGTGTCATCACTCTACTATTGTAAGTAGTAAGTAGGAGCGGGTATCGCTACGATAAAGTTATATTGATTTTAACCAATGTAAAATGTTTTTGTTACCAGTGGCATATTAGACACTCCAGCGAATCGCAAGTGGATGTCGAAAGAAGACTCTTCTACATGGACGCCCTTAGACTTCATCAACAGGTGAACCGCTTTTCCCAAATAACTGCCATATTTCCTCATTTTTCACCCCCGTTTCAGACTACTCCTTGACTGGATTCAGGGTAAAATGCGTCCGAAATCCGGTAGTCTCCTTAAAGTTATCACCATCGATGGAAAAAGCGAGTGTATACCTAGCAATACCTTTTGAATGTACCATGATTTCTGAATCGGGCCAAGCCTTATGCAATCCCCACCTATTCAAACCCCGACACTGTTGGTTCAAGTGGATGAAGTGTCGCATCCGTAAAACACTGACTGATTTCCTAGTATTTTTCGCAGCACTTTACCGCAGACACTGTACTGAGGGTAGATGCTACCCTAATCCCCCTCTTGTTTCTTTTTTTACATTTAAATGCTTTAAAGACGTGTATCAACACAATCACACGTTGAACACGAACTTTCCCTGACCAAAATGCGAATGAGACCACCTCCGCTCAAGCGCGTTACCAATCTCGACTACTTCCATAAAAGAAAAGCGTCCTCGGTAGAACTATGCAGTCATTTTATTTTTAAAACATACATTTGGGCAGAGACGGTTCACCTGTCAAACATAAGACTCAAACAATGCTAATTTCCTCTGAGCCGGAAATCCCGTTTGTCATTGAGGAAAGTTGCTCCGAATATGATCATCTCCGACCAAGGGTACACTAATATGCTTGGCAAAATCAAATAATGTTAACGCTAGTTCACGTACTCAATCTTAATCAAACCTGAGAGACCCGCAAACCTCATTTTCCCCCGTTGGATTACCAATACGGTACCGAAACAAGTACGACACAGTTAACACTTGATAATAAATGTATTCCACCTTACACGGTCGTTTCTTTTTAGTTTCAACGAATCTTTGTACTCCTGTAAGTCTTGTTTCTGGTCATAAGACAGTTCCAAACCTCATGCACCCTCAAATACATACAGAAAGCAGCTAGACCCCATGAGAAGGCGAGGAACTTAAATCGAACGAAAACAGGACTTTGTTAAGGGTCTGGAGCGAGAGCCAAATTGGGAACTTCACCACATAAGTAGTGAGGTCTGAGGGGTATACGTAGGATCCAAATGAGCACAGTGGTGAGTGATATGATGATTCAGTGGAGGAGTTGAGCGAAACCAAAGAGGCCCTTGACCCACCACTGGGGATCGAGTGCCCGGACCGCTTGAAGGCGCGGGGACGTCAGCCCCACCGCAACGTCAGACTTGGCAACTCGGAGGGCCACGAGGAGGGGTTGCGAACCCCTGCCACCACCATCATCCGGGGGGAGGGAGTTGGGGAAACAGCGCCGAAATGCGGTCGTTTTGTCCTCTTGAGAGTCTGGCGCCCACAAACGGTCCTCCAGCAGCTTACGGTAGTTCAAATCGCCCTATCAACAACGGTCGTTTCGTGATCTATAGCACTTTTACAATACATATATTCTTGAAGTGGACTTTGTGCTTACTCTCAATATGGTGTCTGCCATATACCACCTTGTTAGCGCCTAGACCATTAATAAACGAGTTTTTTTTTACTATTCTGGCAGTTACTTAAACTGACGAAAATGTATGAATGTGTGCGTTTTGGGGATTTTAGGCGCGTGATGTAAAAGATTACGCGTGAAATCATGATTGCGCAGTCACCCTCTGCCATGAAATTCCAAATTTACACACTAAATGACACCCTTGGGTACATTTCGGGTCAATTGGGCTGCTGTCGGTCGTTTATCACTACAGCACTGTCATATGCGGCTATGTAGGCAAAGAATTTGAAGTAGTTAATTTTCCAGAAGTAAAATGCACGTCGAACAATGATCAGATTTGTAAACTACTTTGGGGTGCAATAAGGCAATAACGAGCAGACCTGCATATAGAATGAAGTCTTCAAGTGGGGAGCCCCTTTTGATCCTGATTGTTAAAGAATATGGATGGCTAGATGAGTCCACTTGCCAACATACCCCAATCATGAGGTAACACTGACCATATACGTTTAAGGAGGCGGTCAGCTGCGCATGAACTTAGGGTGTTGATTACAAAGCTGAGTCAATAAGCTCTAATAATATAGAATGAGACTAATTGAAAAAGGGTGACGAATCATCAAAGAAGCGGGGTGTTTGAGAGGGTTTAGGGCGGCTGGGATTTTCCAGATGACGACCTAATGTAATCAAGTGGAGGCAACTTTACGTTGAATATGTCACATTGTGAATGTAGACGGGGAAAGTAGTTCGACTATAGCCACTATAGGAAGTCTCCTCATGGCTAGCCAGTTTACCTTAAATATCACAACGTTGCAGTCCGTAGTGAGACGGCAGTACAAATCGGGCGATCTTGTTTGCAGCTCGTTGTAGCCAAATGGGAGGGTCCAAAAGGCATGAAGTTCCACTGCAAAGGAGCCCTCATGAAAGCGTTGGGACCAACGTCCAGCCCAAACAGCCAATTTTCGCGAAACACCACAAGCCGGGAGGGCCTCCTTGAGGAGCCAATCAAAGTCGAACTGGGTGGCGTCGGAGACAAACCAGGGCATGATTTTCGGCATGAAGACAATTCGCTCCGCGAGACCAGCACCCAACAGAAATTCGCCCAGCACCAAATCCGCAAACATCTCAGGCGCGGTGTTGTCCATCACTAGAACGACAGTGCGCCGGTGGTCGACGGAGGCGGCAGCAAGGTGTGGGGGCCAGCGACTCGTGATGGCATCCAGGTCGTCGACCACCATCTGAGTGGCGGTTTTGATGCGCACGTCGAGGCGCAACTGACTCGCGTCTGTGTGCGTCTCCAGCTCTGTCTCGTCGGCTTTCAGCGAGAGATCGAATTCATTTGACCAGAGGGAGCACTAATGAAAAAAAAACAAGGTATTCACTGTGGTGTTTTGGTTTTTTTTTCACATATTACCAACGCTTTAACATTCGAAAGCGTGAACGTGGGTAGACATGACTTGAGTTCCGGGAAAACTGAATTTCACGAAAGACAAATATCAATCCGTAACAATAAAAATCGATTGGCAGAGACATATGCACACTGGAAAAATGCTTAAAGAGCAGCTGGGTGAAACACGCTAAAAAATCAGAATTAGATTAAGGTACAGAAAAGAAACAGATTTAACCATTAAGTAGAACTTTAAGTCCTCGTAGAGCCGCTCGGGTTCAAGTGAAAGCAGGCTCTCTTCCAAGCATTCACACATGGAAACAAGAGATTTTGCGCTCTTGAAAAATCCCATTGCCTTGCGTTCATGAAATAAATCCAATTTAGGAAAGCCACTGTAAACTTGAACATTAATAAAAGAGGAAGAGTACCAATTGATTGTGATGTTCATCAGTCGCCTGTACATGTAACATTCCACAAAAAGCCATGGGGCACCAAACCACGACAGATCTGCCTTATTATACCTAGAGTAAATGACAAAAATATTGACTACTTGAGAACTGCTTCGTTGTAGACGTCGATATCCGCGGCGTCCGGTTCGGGCAAAAGAGGAACGAAGGGTTTGTTTGTCATGAGTTCGTAGCGCAATTTGGATATTTCAGATATTACCGACTTTATGTCATCAAGCTACAAGAAGCCAATCATCTGCCTTCCAACTTACATCGTTTTCAGGATTACCATATTTGCTTTTACATTTCACAAGATCGTCCAATGTCTTTACCAATATAACTGGAAGCCGGTCTTTGATTGTTACAAGAGCAAAGGCGCTAGAAAGGTGCCTGTTAAAGTTAGGAAAGGACTTACGAGTTGGAAGTGTTAAGCATGGAAGGTAATGCTTGATCAGGCATAGCTACTAGGGTGGGACGGAGCTGCCAAGTTTATGGAAATCGACTACGAACTCCGCGGAAAAAACTGAACTAAAATATGGAGACGATTAATTAAAAAGAAGCAATTAAAGTAAAATAAAAAATAAGATTCCTCTAGGTGCCAGGCCATAAACACTAATACGAGTGAACGACGGTACTAAGCTAAAAATCGTCAATCCCACATGCTACTAATTCTCTCATTGGAATTAGTAGTGGTAGGTCTGATTGTCAGTAGAATAGGGTATGAAAAACGCAGAAAGAGAAGGCGAAATATGATGAGTAAGTGTATAACAACAAAAGAATTTTGCAAAAATTAACAAATATGAGGACCTAGTACTTGAATGGAAACAGAAAATAACTGCATAAGAACCCCACAAAGTCGTTAGATTCAGGACGACTAATAGACGCTAAGAAACCAAGAAATCAAATAAGGCTTGCATCAAGTGCTGTTATCAATTCAGTGATAAATGAGATAAAAAGTTGGTTTTGTGAATACGTACAGTCCGTAACTGCATGAGGCACCACAAAACACTGCTACAAAATCCATCCCTCAACCGTTAAACTAAAGAGATTTCACACGAAGTATTCACCGAAGCTAGGAACTTACCCTGAAACGCCAAACTGCCGAAGTAACCCGCTGGACTAGACTACTAACACGACCTTCAAAGGGTTACGAAAAAATGGCCAACGAAGAAAACACGTCAGCAGTCAATCATTATATTAACCCAAACTATCTAAGCTAAATCTGAGAAGAAAAATATGACTGTGACTAGTTCTTGGGATGAATTTAATACGTAGATATTGGCGAGTCTGACCAACGATTCTGAGAACCTTTTCTAATGATTTCAAACGAGTGAAATCATTTGAATGAAAGTGATGTAACTAAATTGTGTCTTGCAATAGCAAAAAATTTCCACGATTGTGTTCACAGAAAATTACTAACGAGCAGACATAAAGAACCGGTCAACAAGAAGTTATGCAGGAGAAGGCTCGTTTATCTCCTCCTCCCAGGTCCACATACACCTAGAACACCCATGTTAATTTAGTTTCGTCATGTTTATTGGGATAAGCAAATGGGGAAAGCAAGTACAAGTTTAAGAAGGTGTAGATAAGTAACCTTTCTTAGGGCTGCAGGACGCTGATTCCTCAGTCACGAGGTTCGATTCGTATCCGCTTATCCTCCCTGAAAGGCACCTTAAAACAACATACCATTACAGTTAATTTGCAATTTAAAGATTGCCACTTAATAAAGCCTCTAAAATATGAATGGAAATCAAACATTTGCATACTTAGGACAACGCATCACATGATGTGAAAAAAGTGACACCCACTAGTGTGATACGCTGGTTGCTTAACTCTCCTGTTTGGCGAAGATCGACTATTGACCTAGCCATTGTACCACGCCGAGTGGGCTAATCTTCGGGCCATGCCAGTAGCTCAGATACCTTTTGTATGTAGAATATATATATATGTATGTATGTATTCTGCCCAAGTGTTATGTTTTATTTCGTCTTAAGGGAAGTCTCGGGCGCTACATTAGCATAGGTCAAGGTAACCAGTACTTATTTGTTCTTTTAATGAAACAGGTGGAGAAGTGAGGGGACAATTTGTAAGTTGTCGACTGAACTTTCGGTTTTGCTAAGGGGTTACTTTGTATCCCCACCATCGTACCTTTGACGGAAAGGCTGGCGTCAGGACTCCGGCCCTACGGCATGCAGAATGCGTGTAGCCTACTCGAATAATAATGGGGTGCAGATGTCACGGGTCAGAGACAATCCCGAGTCAGGAAATCCATTGCGTGCTCCTGAATACAAAATTATTTGAATCCAAGCCCACATGCCGTTTTTTATCACCCGAAAATGAGAAAACACATTTACGTATGGCTAAACATTTTATTGTTCAACCGTTGCTGTAGCGCCTCACTTACCTAAAGACGAAAGATGTAATACTCGGGCTGAATGTATATGTATATTCAGCATAGTGATAGTATTAGTGCAACAAAATTGTTGTTTAAATATGGCTTTCAAAAAAGGCGGGCACTCAAATCAAACCTTGTGAGTGAGCAGAACTCAACGTTTCTGAAGCTCAAAATGGGACAAAAGCTATGTTATACGTTGGTTTTTTGACTCTGCCTCAGTTTAGATAAATGGACCACTTGAATATACTCCACTATCGTACCTTAGCTGGATTCCGGATCATGCCAGTAAATCGGATATATATTATTCTGACTGAGTATTACATTCTCTTTCTTCATCGAGTAAGTCCCGGGAGCGCTACAAACTCCATCATCTAAAGAAGAATGACCTTCCATCTAAATAGAAAGGAAGAAACATAGGAGGTTAATGTTTGAATTCTTTTTAGCATCAATTAATTAAACTTCAAGATCAAGTCGAATGTGATAATTAGGAGGAACATTGTTTTTAAGCATAACTCCTATGTATTGATCAAACCTTTAAGAGCAAACTTTTCAGTAATATAACACACACAGGAAGATACAAGTGGAGACTTGGTTTACGCTTAATCGTGTAATAGACACTTAACACGGTGATTAGTTGTGGATAAATATATTTAAATAATATGACTGTTTGAGTGGGGTCAAGGTTGATGCCGCACTGTTAAGTTTACCTCATACTTAGGCGTCACGTTCCTTGTACTTAATGTCTTCTAAAATAGTTGTGTATGGTGGAAACGGGGCCCTGGGGTCTTCATGTGTTTCGTTTTTTAAAAATAACAGTTTTGTAGGTTCTAATAGTCGGAATTTGATCTCTATCAGTGGGTTTGCTCCGTAGGTTCAGTGGAAAATATCCAGGCTGACGTTAACGTTATTATTACCAAACGTGATTCCCTGGAGGAACAGTACCATGAGGTGTCCTGCTGTCTGAAGGAGGTATTAAATGGGTGCCTTGTGGATGGGGTATTTTGTGTAGCTGGCGGCTGGGTTGGCGGGAACTGTAGCGCTCGAGGTATCTTTTCTTCTGTCGTTTCTCTGTGATTTTATATGCACATAAAATAGAACGGATCATGGAATTTATTTTGATGTTTCCCAAAGGCATTTTTATAACGTGTTGCCAAGGGGACCGTTCACACATAACGTTCCTTAAAAACTAGGTTTTATTAAAAGTGTTGATACTGCCATAAAGCAAAGTGTATGGTCATCTACCGTCGCTGCTTCGATTTGTTCTGCATATCTTCGGCCGGGCGGTATGTTCATTCTTTGTGGGTCTATGTCGGCTTTGGATGGTACTCCAAGTAAGTCTCTATAATGGCTTTGGCCTCCCAGTCACCTATCTTCCAGCTTCACCTTCCTACCACCTCCCGTTATTTCACTATCTTATCTTAAATGGAATATGCCTTTATTCCCGTAATTTGAAAAGAAGGTTGGAGTAAAACATAACAGTAACATTGTGTATATTTTAGGAATGATTGGATATGGATTAGCAAAGGCAGCTGTCCATCACTTGGCCTCAAGTTTGGCTGAGCCGGAGAGTGGGATGCCACCCGATAGTTGTGTCATCACTCTACTATTGTAAGTAGTAAGTAGGAGCGGGTATCGCTACGATAAAGTTATATTGATTTTAACCAATGTAAAATGTTTTTGTTACCAGTGGCATATTAGACACTCCAGCGAATCGCAAGTGGATGTCGAAAGAAGACTCTTCTACATGGACGCCCTTAGACTTCATCAACAGGTGAACCGCTTTTCCCAAATAACTGCCATATTTCCTCATTTTTCACCCCCGTTTCAGACTACTCCTTGACTGGATTCAGGGTAAAATGCGTCCGAAATCCGGTAGTCTCCTTAAAGTTATCACCATCGATGGAAAAAGCGAGTGTATACCTAGCAATACCTTTTGAATGTACCATGATTTCTGAATCGGGCCAAGCCTTATGCAATCCCCACCTATTCAAACCCCGACACTGTTGGTTCAAGTGGATGAAGTGTCGCATCCGTAAAACACTGACTGATTTCCTAGTATTTTTCGCAGCACTTTACCGCAGACACTGTACTGAGGGTAGATGCTACCCTAATCCCCCTCTTGTTTCTTTTTTTACATTTAAATGCTTTAAAGACGTGTATCAACACAATCACACGTTGAACACGAACTTTCCCTGACCAAAATGCGAATGAGACCACCTCCGCTCAAGCGCGTTACCAATCTCGACTACTTCCATAAAAGAAAAGCGTCCTCGGTAGAACTATGCAGTCATTTTATTTTTAAAACATACATTTGGGCAGAGACGGTTCACCTGTCAAACATAAGACTCAAACAATGCTAATTTCCTCTGAGCCGGAAATCCCGTTTGTCATTGAGGAAAGTTGCTCCGAATATGATCATCTCCGACCAAGGGTACACTAATATGCTTGGCAAAATCAAATAATGTTAACGCTAGTTCACGTACTCAATCTTAATCAAACCTGAGAGACCCGCAAACCTCATTTTCCCCCGTTGGATTACCAATACGGTACCGAAACAAGTACGACACAGTTAACACTTGATAATAAATGTATTCCACCTTACACGGTCGTTTCTTTTTAGTTTCAACGAATCTTTGTACTCCTGTAAGTCTTGTTTCTGGTCATAAGACAGTTCCAAACCTCATGCACCCTCAAATACATACAGAAAGCAGCTAGACCCCATGAGAAGGCGAGGAACTTAAATCGAACGAAAACAGGACTTTGTTAAGGGTCTGGAGCGAGAGCCAAATTGGGAACTTCACCACATAAGTAGTGAGGTCTGAGGGGTATACGTAGGATCCAAATGAGCACAGTGGTGAGTGATATGATGATTCAGTGGAGGAGTTGAGCGAAACCAAAGAGGCCCTTGACCCACCACTGGGGATCGAGTGCCCGGACCGCTTGAAGGCGCGGGGACGTCAGCCCCACCGCAACGTCAGACTTGGCAACTCGGAGGGCCACGAGGAGGGGTTGCGAACCCCTGCCACCACCATCATCCGGGGGGAGGGAGTTGGGGAAACAGCGCCGAAATGCGGTCGTTTTGTCCTCTTGAGAGTCTGGCGCCCACAAACGGTCCTCCAGCAGCTTACGGTAGTTCAAATCGCCCTATCAACAACGGTCGTTTCGTGATCTATAGCACTTTTACAATACATATATTCTTGAAGTGGACTTTGTGCTTACTCTCAATATGGTGTCTGCCATATACCACCTTGTTAGCGCCTAGACCATTAATAAACGAGTTTTTTTTTACTATTCTGGCAGTTACTTAAACTGACGAAAATGTATGAATGTGTGCGTTTTGGGGATTTTAGGCGCGTGATGTAAAAGATTACGCGTGAAATCATGATTGCGCAGTCACCCTCTGCCATGAAATTCCAAATTTACACACTAAATGACACCCTTGGGTACATTTCGGGTCAATTGGGCTGCTGTCGGTCGTTTATCACTACAGCACTGTCATATGCGGCTATGTAGGCAAAGAATTTGAAGTAGTTAATTTTCCAGAAGTAAAATGCACGTCGAACAATGATCAGATTTGTAAACTACTTTGGGGTGCAATAAGGCAATAACGAGCAGACCTGCATATAGAATGAAGTCTTCAAGTGGGGAGCCCCTTTTGATCCTGATTGTTAAAGAATATGGATGGCTAGATGAGTCCACTTGCCAACATACCCCAATCATGAGGTAACACTGACCATATACGTTTAAGGAGGCGGTCAGCTGCGCATGAACTTAGGGTGTTGATTACAAAGCTGAGTCAATAAGCTCTAATAATATAGAATGAGACTAATTGAAAAAGGGTGACGAATCATCAAAGAAGCGGGGTGTTTGAGAGGGTTTAGGGCGGCTGGGATTTTCCAGATGACGACCTAATGTAATCAAGTGGAGGCAACTTTACGTTGAATATGTCACATTGTGAATGTAGACGGGGAAAGTAGTTCGACTATAGCCACTATAGGAAGTCTCCTCATGGCTAGCCAGTTTACCTTAAATATCACAACGTTGCAGTCCGTAGTGAGACGGCAGTACAAATCGGGCGATCTTGTTTGCAGCTCGTTGTAGCCAAATGGGAGGGTCCAAAAGGCATGAAGTTCCACTGCAAAGGAGCCCTCATGAAAGCGTTGGGACCAACGTCCAGCCCAAACAGCCAATTTTCGCGAAACACCACAAGCCGGGAGGGCCTCCTTGAGGAGCCAATCAAAGTCGAACTGGGTGGCGTCGGAGACAAACCAGGGCATGATTTTCGGCATGAAGACAATTCGCTCCGCGAGACCAGCACCCAACAGAAATTCGCCCAGCACCAAATCCGCAAACATCTCAGGCGCGGTGTTGTCCATCACTAGAACGACAGTGCGCCGGTGGTCGACGGAGGCGGCAGCAAGGTGTGGGGGCCAGCGACTCGTGATGGCATCCAGGTCGTCGACCACCATCTGAGTGGCGGTTTTGATGCGCACGTCGAGGCGCAACTGACTCGCGTCTGTGTGCGTCTCCAGCTCTGTCTCGTCGGCTTTCAGCGAGAGATCGAATTCATTTGACCAGAGGGAGCACTAATGAAAAAAAAACAAGGTATTCACTGTGGTGTTTTGGTTTTTTTTTCACATATTACCAACGCTTTAACATTCGAAAGCGTGAACGTGGGTAGACATGACTTGAGTTCCGGGAAAACTGAATTTCACGAAAGACAAATATCAATCCGTAACAATAAAAATCGATTGGCAGAGACATATGCACACTGGAAAAATGCTTAAAGAGCAGCTGGGTGAAACACGCTAAAAAATCAGAATTAGATTAAGGTACAGAAAAGAAACAGATTTAACCATTAAGTAGAACTTTAAGTCCTCGTAGAGCCGCTCGGGTTCAAGTGAAAGCAGGCTCTCTTCCAAGCATTCACACATGGAAACAAGAGATTTTGCGCTCTTGAAAAATCCCATTGCCTTGCGTTCATGAAATAAATCCAATTTAGGAAAGCCACTGTAAACTTGAACATTAATAAAAGAGGAAGAGTACCAATTGATTGTGATGTTCATCAGTCGCCTGTACATGTAACATTCCACAAAAAGCCATGGGGCACCAAACCACGACAGATCTGCCTTATTATACCTAGAGTAAATGACAAAAATATTGACTACTTGAGAACTGCTTCGTTGTAGACGTCGATATCCGCGGCGTCCGGTTCGGGCAAAAGAGGAACGAAGGGTTTGTTTGTCATGAGTTCGTAGCGCAATTTGGATATTTCAGATATTACCGACTTTATGTCATCAAGCTACAAGAAGCCAATCATCTGCCTTCCAACTTACATCGTTTTCAGGATTACCATATTTGCTTTTACATTTCACAAGATCGTCCAATGTCTTTACCAATATAACTGGAAGCCGGTCTTTGATTGTTACAAGAGCAAAGGCGCTAGAAAGGTGCCTGTTAAAGTTAGGAAAGGACTTACGAGTTGGAAGTGTTAAGCATGGAAGGTAATGCTTGATCAGGCATAGCTACTAGGGTGGGACGGAGCTGCCAAGTTTATGGAAATCGACTACGAACTCCGCGGAAAAAACTGAACTAAAATATGGAGACGATTAATTAAAAAGAAGCAATTAAAGTAAAATAAAAAATAAGATTCCTCTAGGTGCCAGGCCATAAACACTAATACGAGTGAACGACGGTACTAAGCTAAAAATCGTCAATCCCACATGCTACTAATTCTCTCATTGGAATTAGTAGTGGTAGGTCTGATTGTCAGTAGAATAGGGTATGAAAAACGCAGAAAGAGAAGGCGAAATATGATGAGTAAGTGTATAACAACAAAAGAATTTTGCAAAAATTAACAAATATGAGGACCTAGTACTTGAATGGAAACAGAAAATAACTGCATAAGAACCCCACAAAGTCGTTAGATTCAGGACGACTAATAGACGCTAAGAAACCAAGAAATCAAATAAGGCTTGCATCAAGTGCTGTTATCAATTCAGTGATAAATGAGATAAAAAGTTGGTTTTGTGAATACGTACAGTCCGTAACTGCATGAGGCACCACAAAACACTGCTACAAAATCCATCCCTCAACCGTTAAACTAAAGAGATTTCACACGAAGTATTCACCGAAGCTAGGAACTTACCCTGAAACGCCAAACTGCCGAAGTAACCCGCTGGACTAGACTACTAACACGACCTTCAAAGGGTTACGAAAAAATGGCCAACGAAGAAAACACGTCAGCAGTCAATCATTATATTAACCCAAACTATCTAAGCTAAATCTGAGAAGAAAAATATGACTGTGACTAGTTCTTGGGATGAATTTAATACGTAGATATTGGCGAGTCTGACCAACGATTCTGAGAACCTTTTCTAATGATTTCAAACGAGTGAAATCATTTGAATGAAAGTGATGTAACTAAATTGTGTCTTGCAATAGCAAAAAATTTCCACGATTGTGTTCACAGAAAATTACTAACGAGCAGACATAAAGAACCGGTCAACAAGAAGTTATGCAGGAGAAGGCTCGTTTATCTCCTCCTCCCAGGTCCACATACACCTAGAACACCCATGTTAATTTAGTTTCGTCATGTTTATTGGGATAAGCAAATGGGGAAAGCAAGTACAAGTTTAAGAAGGTGTAGATAAGTAACCTTTCTTAGGGCTGCAGGACGCTGATTCCTCAGTCACGAGGTTCGATTCGTATCCGCTTATCCTCCCTGAAAGGCACCTTAAAACAACATACCATTACAGTTAATTTGCAATTTAAAGATTGCCACTTAATAAAGCCTCTAAAATATGAATGGAAATCAAACATTTGCATACTTAGGACAACGCATCACATGATGTGAAAAAAGTGACACCCACTAGTGTGATACGCTGGTTGCTTAACTCTCCTGTTTGGCGAAGATCGACTATTGACCTAGCCATTGTACCACGCCGAGTGGGCTAATCTTCGGGCCATGCCAGTAGCTCAGATACCTTTTGTATGTAGAATATATATATATGTATGTATGTATTCTGCCCAAGTGTTATGTTTTATTTCGTCTTAAGGGAAGTCTCGGGCGCTACATTAGCATAGGTCAAGGTAACCAGTACTTATTTGTTCTTTTAATGAAACAGGTGGAGAAGTGAGGGGACAATTTGTAAGTTGTCGACTGAACTTTCGGTTTTGCTAAGGGGTTACTTTGTATCCCCACCATCGTACCTTTGACGGAAAGGCTGGCGTCAGGACTCCGGCCCTACGGCATGCAGAATGCGTGTAGCCTACTCGAATAATAATGGGGTGCAGATGTCACGGGTCAGAGACAATCCCGAGTCAGGAAATCCATTGCGTGCTCCTGAATACAAAATTATTTGAATCCAAGCCCACATGCCGTTTTTTATCACCCGAAAATGAGAAAACACATTTACGTATGGCTAAACATTTTATTGTTCAACCGTTGCTGTAGCGCCTCACTTACCTAAAGACGAAAGATGTAATACTCGGGCTGAATGTATATGTATATTCAGCATAGTGATAGTATTAGTGCAACAAAATTGTTGTTTAAATATGGCTTTCAAAAAAGGCGGGCACTCAAATCAAACCTTGTGAGTGAGCAGAACTCAACGTTTCCCAAACCAGAGAACAGCTCTGTGTTCGAGTCACTAGCAAATAAATACGTCTTAAACCAAACAGTCTCTTCATTCCAAGGGTATAAACGGCAAGAAGGTGAAGGTAAACAAGGAAAGTGCTGCAGTTAGGT